CAGCAAATTCCCCCATCGTCAAGCCTTCAAAGTCGTCATTCGGGTCACCATTAAAGTTACCACACAGGCCTTCACTATGTCTATGCTTGTCGTCCGGATCTTTTTGCTCATAATAAGGTTCAGGAGCTTTTATTATAATATCTAGAGATTTGCTGTGCCAACTTCGTGTAGTAGTGACGGTTATTCCAGACGGTAAATGGACCTTTTTTCACAAAAGAATGGGAATAGTTATTTTTTACAATCCATAATTCATAAAGCTTGGTTCACATATGCCTGCGCTCAGGGCCGGATCTAGGGGTGATCAGAGTGATCACGCGACTAAGGTAAAAATTGGCCAGAAAATTGCTAAATTAAAATAGCAGTCCAGTTATCAAACTTCTCGCGGTCAATTGAAAGTTTAACAGTCCAGTTGTAAGATATCATCCAGTAGCTAGGCCTTCGAACATGAACGCGCAGAAAAGCGGTCTTACGCATGAGTTTTGCACGCTCTGAGTCAGATTCCAGCCATCTGTTTTGCTATCTCGATTTTTGCGCGATCTGTGGGGAGTTCGTACCACAATCATAATTAAGACAATCAAACAGCATTCAAAACAGGCAACACACCACGCGCGATTCCCTCGGCAACTATGATATTACAAAGTAATAGGCTAATAGCATGGCATTACGGTCGATTAGTGATGAAATGTCCCTCAAGCCTCGAGAGGTTTAGTAAAAGTCCCGAGGCGCGTACTAAACCTCTCTCGGCTTTCGGGTACATTTAATCACTAATCGCCCTGAATGCCATGCTATTACTTATAATTGTCTAGTATATTAAAACTACAAGCACATGACAATGTAGCATCTACCTCCTCCGCAGGCCTTTCAAAAAAATAAAATTGGTGCGAAACGAACCGAAAGGCCTGCGGACTAATTTTCCAAAATGGCGGGAAGCCAGAATTGGCAGAAACCAAATTATATTTAATATATCATTTTACCAAAACAATATTATTATTAAAGTCTTTAACTACTTCTGATATAGATCGCTTTTCGTATCAGCAATATACATAAAAACAGTGAACAGTGAACAAACAAGCATATACAATGATTTATAAAGAGAAGCAGATAAATATCAGTTTATAATTTGCATATTACAAACACGCTGCGGCCGTTTATCCACGAAATTTATTCCATTTATATTTGTCTTTTATACAGTGTAACTATTTAAATGCGTGTGTATATAGTCAAAACATCCCATTTGGCCAAATGATAGATTCACAACGTCTATTATCACTGTCGCTTGTGCTTGTAAAACCCTCCATTTTTTTAATCTCCTCGTCGCTTTTATCAGCCATAACAGCCAAGATGTATTTAGAAAATACTCGCAAAACGGGATTGCTAAAGATTGGCAGACGATGTGCCATATTTTTGAAGAAATTTGACCCAACCGAGTAATCGACACCAAAAGCCAAGTAATCGACATGTACATGTTATTCAGCAGGCCTTACAGCTACGCAAGCCTTCGTCTCAAATTTCAAATTAAACCTGCGAACGGGCTGTATGGCCTGCGGAGGAGGTAGTGATTGGCAAGTGTTGTAGATTTCGCCCAAAAAATTATATTCTCATGAACATGTCCGCAGAGTGTGCATTTTGCTTTTTAATTAAACTTAAAAATTCAAGGTACTTTTGTATAATTAAGAGTCAGTTTTTCTATTTAACCGAACAAAGATTCAACTAGTCAGTTCTGTGCACGGCTCGACTGCCAAGCTTTCTCAAGGTCTCAACTTGCTGGATGCGGATATACTCTAACTGGCTAACAACAGCAACAATGAAATTCTCAATCGTACCACGAAGAAGGCGATGTAGCTCAGAAAACAACGCCGGTAGGACCTGATATTAAAAATAAGACTTTTGCCGGCAAAGCCAGTTGGCAGAACATCTTGGCTGTCAACAACAAACTTTCGAATACAAATTAATACAATAATACATGACTAGTTTGGCTGTTCTTTCAGCGTCGTGTGTCCAAAATTCGTCAAAGATTTTGATAAAGCCCTTTCAAAATACTGTTTGTTTGATTTATTTTCTGCCATAAAGCATAAAAGAAAAGAAATTCGAAGAAATCGATAATGGAATTTGTTACGTGCGTTTGACCTTTATATTAATTGTCACCTTGAGCGAGCTATTTTTAAAACTGTTGTTTATGTGAACTTGCAACCAATCAAAATCCTTCATGATGCTGATCAACCAATCAGATTTCCCGTCCACCAGATGGACGGGAATCCCACGGTTTAGATAGGTTTTGTGTCAGGCCCTATTCTGTGATTAGGGCCTGAACTTCAGGTTA